GCACGGAAAAGAAAGGGGCTGAGGAAAAGCAGGATGACAGTGGGGGACCTGGCTAGCAGGAGTGGTAAAATGGAGTGGGCAAAAGAGGGAAGTGACCTCAGGTTGGAGGTGTTTGTAAGGGGCTCTGCAGGGATCTGTGACTGGGGTTATAAAATTACAGTGGATTCAGATTTGCAGATGACACACATTTGTGCTGCGAAAATTATGAGGGCATGACCATTGGACTGTGCAGCCTGATCCCTAGGAAACGTGGATCCGTTTATTAGCATAGGTCAATGCTTCAGTGCCAGGAGTGCACACAGGCTCTGGAAAGGGCAGGCAAGGCACAGAGTGCAAGTTATTTACCATGCAGTCATGTTGCTGTGCAGAAAAAGTGCAATCCTGAGGGAGTAGTAAGAGCATATACATCAGCACTGTGCCGGTACCAGAAAACTCCAGTACTAGTGAAATACCGAGAGGGCGGAAAAGGAGCACAAGTTCTGCAGAAGTGCTGTGCTGAGAGTCATGGAGACCTCCTAAAGGAGTTTTGTCTGGTTTATCTGAAAGATTAACACACAAAAAAACCCAACAAAAACCAAAGCTGCGTATTAAAGATCTTCTTAATATAGTAGAAATAGGCATGACAAGAACCAGAGGCTGGTAAAAGGAAAGCAGCTAAATTAAATGAAGTTGCACACTTTCAGCCATGAGGATGATTAATCATTGGAACGAGTTCTCAAAATAAGGTATTTTTCCAGGCACTGTCTAGTCAGATGTGATTAACTGGGTTTTGTGAAGAAGTAACAGGGTAAAATGTCCATGACATGTAGGAGGTCAGCCTAGCTGATGTAATTCTCCTTTACAGCCTTTGCTCGGTAACCCTCTGAAAACTTTATAAAGGTGACATAATGGATTTCAGCTTGCTGAAGCTGTATAAGGGTCATCGTCTTGACTTGAATGAGGAAATACCCAGCTTGGCTTTTGGATTGCACTGGGAATAAATAATTAGTATTTAGGTAGTTCTTTCTATTAATAAATTTTCACGCTTCCAGGAAGGCATGTCTCATCTAAAGCCAGATAAACAAGCATAGAGGTGAGGCATGGCCAAGTGAATTGGCAGCAGACCTGGAAAAAGACCCAGTGTCTCCTGGATCCCTGGCTAAGAGAGACTTGCTTTCTTCGGAGGACTTAGCCATCTGAAATCCAGCATGTTCTCCAGTCAAATGATTTCTTAACTTTGAAAGGCCAAACATGACAACATGAAGTAAGCCTAGACTATGACAAAAATGTTGTTCTCATGAAAAGCATGAGGTATACTAAGAAATAATATTTTATATATTTTTATATATACACACACATATATATAAAATTAGGATCACATTTACCATGTGATTTCTATGTAAATAGAAGGCAACACTTTGTAAGGCAGGTGTTTCTCTTCATTTAGGAAGCGCTGTGCTCAGCACTAGCAACACTGACTTACGTAAACTCACGTCATAGTTTCTATTACTGGGAACTCATTGAGATTTTGACAGCACTCCTATTTGTTGATGTCTGAGCACTTAGAGGTTAGAAGAGCGAACATGTCAGTCTTCTGTTACTCAGCTGTCAGTCCCAAATGCCTACACGTTCACTTGAAATGATTCACTTAAGTATAAAAGGTTAGTACTTACCCCTTGATTTTTGGATTGGGACTTAGTTGTCATCATGGGCTTTTCTTCATTTAAGGTAGCTACTTCTACAATATTTGTGTGATCTTAGAACTGCAGTCCTTTACACATAAGGAGCCTGAGTTATGGGGCTTTTTGAGGCTTAAGGTTTTGATTTTACGTTCTTGGCATATGTACTGCTTGTACGTAGTACCAAGAAACTAAGCGTACAGATGCTGAGCAAGCTTCCTTGGGACATGGACAAATTAGGTCAGCCTGCCAAAAAATGTAGATTGCTGATTTTAAACAGTAGTGATGAAGCTGTATGGAATGGGGAAGATTTTGTGTTTGAAGTTCTTTGTATGAGGTTTTTTAAATTTTATATTTTTTTAAATGATTGATTTGGGTACGCCTTCTACTGGCAAATGCTGAACAAGTGGCTGCAGGGTCTGAACAGAGTCGGCCCCAGTCTTTCCTACATCCTTGGCCCCACCTGACACTCTCCAGTGTACCAGCGACGGTGGGATCATTTGCTACGAGTTGAACCGAGCCTGTTGATTTATTTCACATAATATTGCGTGTCTACCTTCACACATCCGGCACCGTGGCACTAAAGGGTAGCTGAGGTTAATTTGTGAGCTACAGCACTTGCATGGGAAATTGAGCCCCTGGAAAGCGCTGTTTGTTTTGGCCAACCCAGATTCAGCACTTTGCTTTATGCTGGGATGCCGTATGGATGCCTTTTTGCTATTTCTGGAAGAATTGTTTAGAAAGAAGTAAAAGAGATGTTGCAGATAGAGGTGTTTGAGGTAAGGGGTGAGATTTTTTTCTTTTTTTTTTTCCCAGACGTGACTTGTAAATTGGGTGCTTGCACTGTGAAGCGTATTACCAGTTGGACGGGGAGCGGTGGTGCTGCTTGTTGTAGCACCCTGGCGAGGGCTTGCTGTGTTTGGTAAAGCAGATCCTTCAGTGGTACGGAAAGTAAGGCATCCGAAACTGCTGGCTGCTGTAGCAAACGCTGGCTTCTTGGTGTAACTACAGCTGTAGGGCTGGTCCGTCCCCCTGACACCCACTGAGGACACTTACCTGGGCACGAGCAGGAGCTGCAAAACACGTCCAGCAGATGCCAGTGCCGTGGAGAGCATTTGGAAGTCCATTTTCTGTCTTTCTGAGGTCGGATGAGCACTGCCTCTGTTGCTTCTGGCTGCTGATAGCTCCTTTCCATCTGGCAAAAAGGTCTCCCCTGTCCTGCCTGGTTTGACCTGTTGAACACAGATCTATACCCTGTGCAGCAAACTGAATTCCTTAAATTCCCTAAATTAATTTCCATTGGAATACAGTGTGGCTTAAGCACTTGGCTTCGGGAACGGCCATGGCAGTGTTTGACAGCGAGCCACTGTGCCCTAACCCACAGGTTGTACCGCCCGGGAATCCACCCTAAAATAGTGCATAGGGCAAAAGTGATTAAAGAAAAGCCCTTTTTCTGTTGTTATCTGTGACAGGGTTGGGGGGGTGATGTTCCATGAAAGAGTTGTGCAATGGCTTGGTAGTTGCTGGGGAGGAGTGGTTCAGCATGTGAATTAATTTCACAAGCAGAAAAAAAATAGCAGCTGACTTCTGCAACGGGAGGTTTAAACTTTATCATTAAGAGATGATTAAACTGTGCCTGGATTAAAATAAAGGCTCCATGGATATGGAGGCAGAAGACACTGAGGTGGTATCTGCTGAGCACTTGGTCTCGCTTACCCTGGCATTCGTTAGAGCTGGAGATTTACCCTGCAATTACTCAGTCCTGCCTTCACTCGATTATTTTGCTGTGTCTTTCCTTCAGAGACAGGATGGCTTTTGTTTCACAGAATATTTCTGGAATCTTGCGAATGTGATGTTTCTGTGCTTTTAGGCACAAAAGTGCAAATATCACCTTTGTTTATTTGGAGATGAATTTGAATGAGATTATTCCCTTAGTTGCTCACATCTTAGTTTTTTACAGTAGCTTAGTTTTTTACAGTAGTTTGTGCGATTTATATTGCCAGTAGAAAAATATGTGGTTTGGAGCTTTAGAAGAAATAAAACAAAGGAATGATGACGTATGAGGCTATAGGCACTTTTAAAAGACATTTGTAAGTTAAAAACTGAATGATAGAAAACTGTGCATTTGGCTTTCATGGTATCTGCTGATACTGTCAATCCTGAAATATTGTACTGGTTCACTGTTCTTCACTATATTTTGGTCTTGTAGCTTTATCCTTCCCAAAGGAGTAGAAATAAATGCACAGTTACTATAGGGCTTAACTTTGTTTCAAGTTACTATAGGGCTTAGTTTACTCTGTTTGATTTCACTTGCATATTCTGACTTTTATGACAATCTGTTTTCTAACAAATCATCTCTACCCTTCTTTCTCTGCCCCAACCAAAGCGAAAAAGGATTCATGAACTGCACTGTTTACAGCTGTATCAACTGGTCACGGTATTTCAGATATTTCTTAAACATCTGTTAAAGCATGTTACTGTGTTAAGAAAAAAAGATATTTGACAAACAAAGAGAAACAAATGCTTTCCCAGGTATTTGGTCAAGATAATGTATAGCTTTGACAATGGTTAAGTGTGCTACTTGTCACCCTATTTTGCATTACACACCAGTTTAGAGATTAAGCCGTGCTGCAGTTTTGGTTTTTTTTAAGTGTCAAACTACTGTTCAGCTCTGTGTGCTACATCAAGTGAAGTTTTCTATTTTTGTCAGTTCCTTCAGTTTGTTAGCATTGGTAGAGTTGTTTCTGCTCTCTGAGGTAATTTGTGATTTTTCATTTGCTTGGTTTTAGTACAGATGAAAATCTCACGAGTAGTTGGGTCCAATCAGTGTTGTCAGTATGAAACCTTTAGAAGAGGCATTACCAAAATGTCCTCTGAGAGGCATTAATTAGTGGAATTCATCGTCCCAGAGACTCCCATCCCAATGGGGAACAAGCAACCGTTACCTACTAGATGACGTTGAACATTAGTCTAGTGACATGTTTGGTTCTGAGGGATTGTGTTGAGAGAAATAAACATGTGTGTGTATCCCTGATTTTATGAATTTCATTTTTGCTAAAACATACCCATTATAAGGAATAAATGAGGCTGCTGTCCAAAACTGAGAACCCCCAGCACAGACCTTCCTTTCTCACCTGTTCTCCCTCACATCCCCTGTCCCCCCAGCTTCACTTCCACTCAAAGCCTCCCACGAGGGCTGACCTTGCACGGTCAGCAAAATCCGATCCTGACAGAAAAATGTAGCTGGAAGCTATGCAACATGCAGCTTCTGGTGTCAATTTTATGTTTGCATATAGGTACCTTTTAAGTAGTGTTTTTCAAGGACATGTGGTATTTTCTTAGCAGGTTGAAGTGGAAGTTTACCGGAGAGATTCTAAGAAGCTTCCTGGCCTGGGAGACCCTGACATCGACTGGGAAGAGAGTGTCTACTTGAACCTCATCCTACAGAAGGTAACAGTGATGCTTATCTAATTTGCAAGGGCTATTTATGCTAGAGAGGTTTCAGGGTAGACTTTGATCTGTCCCCTTTCCTCTCTAGCTTGGGGGATTTGAACACTTCTGGAGGATATAAAGAAAACATGGCTTTCATTTTGCCTTTCAGAGTCTAAATGAATGTAAATGGAGATGTTTATTATTTTTCAGTAGAGTCCTAATAGCTTTCCTCAAAAAACTTTAAATATATCTAGTGAAGATGGGCTGAATTTTATGCTCTGTAACAAAGTTTTGCAAAATGGAAGGCTTTGTCAAGTTTAATAGTTTTTGAGAGTGAGTGAGACTGTTAGACAAGCAACATTTCTGTTAGAGTTCACAATACTGGTGCAGCTAGGAGAGGGAACTGCTAAGTGGAAATGCAGTAAAGGTGTTATGTGTTACACTGGGAGTTTGCTGCTCTTGACATCAGAACTTTAATAAAACTTTTTTTTTTGGTGGTGGAAACATGAAGCTAGCACAAATTATTTCTTTAATTAACTCATAGGTTGTTTAGTTATTGCATATGTTACATTGGCACTTAGAGAAGCTGAATGTTACTGTAGTCCTTCGAGATCCCTTGAAAGTTTTGTTGATTACCATCTCAGAATGAGAGACTGCTGGCTCAGTGCACACATCCTGGAAGATAAATTGTTTTTATTCTCTCTTCTTCTTCCCAAAAGTCTCGTTGCAGAACTTCTCTGCGGAGAACATTTTCTGCCTTTATTTGATGCTGAATAAAACCAGAATCCTTTTCCTATAGTCAGAATTCAGAGATGCTGTTACAGCTGGGCATTGCTGTCCGGAGCTATCACGCTTGCTCCTTACGAATTTTTTCAGGTGGTGTGGCAGGCTACGTTAATGGTTTCTGACCTCTCTAATGTGTTGCTTGTGTTCGTTAGTGTTTCTATTTTTCCGTTTTCGAAGGGAGGATCTTTTCCATTTCCATTTTAAAGTATGCTTATGTGTGTGTGTCATGCTTATTCCCCCAGCTGACCAGTAAGTTAGTGTTAAACAATATTGACAGGTGTTCCAATAGATGTCAAAATAAAAAGATTTCAGTATCACTGAGTTAATAAACAAACACAGGCTTGAAAACTGTAGGAGTTTCAGTATAGTAAAAACAGCAAAGAAAATGGCAATACCAAAAGGTCTTACTTTTTAGCCAGACAGCCACAAAAATTAAGAAAGCATGTGTTCTGCTTCATGCACATGAATGTTTTGTTTCTCTAACTCTAAACCTTTATTTCTTTATCTGGTGCCCTGTTTTAGCTGGATTATGTGGTGACATGTGCTGTGTGCACACGCTCTGATGGAGGAGATATTCACATTCACAAAAAGAAATCTCAGGTGAGGTTACCCTGTTATTACTGTGAATAAGAGGTTGGCATCCAGTATTACCTCATCCTAAAAACTGTATCAACACCAGGGCAGTGGTTCTCAGGCTGTGCTCTGAGAGATGCATCATTGCGAAGCATCTCCAGTCTTTGTCTAGTGACATTTCCTGACAGTCATCTAAATGTGAGATCTAAATGTCCTTTATAGCCCCTCTCAAAAAATTGTAAAGACCTCTGCATGCTTTCAAGATTTATATCTTTGCCTACTGGATTTGGGGCGGGGGTGGGCTGGGTGCTGGAGGGGGGAACGTGCCCAGCTGTTAACTAATCTGAGGGTAAACCTGAAACTGTATGAGTTATAAGAAGCCTTTTGGGTAAATCTGTAATGTAGGGCTATTAAATGGTAGACAATTTACTGATTACCAATTTATCTTTTAAGGTTTTGTGAGATTCTTGTTTTCTGTCTTAAAACTGCTTATTCCTTCCATCTCCACACTGAAGGCTTTTAGCACTTGCTTGTGTGCAGCATACAGTTAATCCAGGGTTTAGCATAGTGGAGGAGACTGAATAATAAGCGTGGAAGGGATAGGAACAAGAAACCCCAGGCTCCTTCACTCAGTTTCCAGCAGATCTTGCAATAACTTCTCCTAGTTGGCAGAAATTCTTCTTTAAATGGCTCCTGTTGCCTTTCAAAGGCTGTTTTGCCCAGGCATTTCCATTCCTTTAGCTCATTCAGCTGCTTGTGTAGCTCTACCTAAAATAAATCAATGCTCTTTAATCCTTTGATTTTGTTTTACCATTTTAAAACAATTGTTGCTTTGCCTGCAAACAAAACTAGCAACACTGATTACTGTATTTGCAATTTGCATGTTAGGCACATAATTCCCTACTTCTGGTGCTGTTGAGACACCACGTCACACCATTGGTGCAAACTCTTTTTTTCCTCATTGCTTTTTCCACTGTTTACTAGTCCAAATTTCACCCCCAGTTAACGTCTGCAAAATTCTTTTGAGAAAAATCTGTAAATACTACTTGCAGATTTGAAAACTGGGGAGATGAGGGTGAGGGACCTGCCCTTACTGCATGTGAGCAGTGTTCAGAATAAGGAAGAGGTTTTCTGTTCCTCATTCCTAGAGACTCGTACTGTGGGACTGCTTATAACTTTTTCTTTTGTCTCCCCTTTTCTAGGAGAAACTCAACACACGTTAGAACTTAGCCTATGTACTAGTAACACTTCAACATCATGAAGTTGATCTACATAGAGAGAAAAGGCAATTCTATATACTGTGGAAAGCATGTTTGCAGCAGGGCACTTCATTGTAATATGCACCATTGAGGCTTTTAGTTTTAAATGAACAAAAGCCAGCCTTTTTGGATCTATATTACTGGTCTGATGGTTCTTGCTTTAGAAAGTGTATGTTATCTTGTTGGTGTGCAGCCAGATGTTGAATAGGTAGAAGTCTTATTCAGGCATAGAACTTGCTATGCTACTCCAGACCTATGACAAAGCTACTGTGTTCATACCAGTAGAGTACCTAAGGCACGAAACCAGTGTAAAAAAGGCTGACTTCCCCTAAATTATTTTGCAGGGTACATTGATTCTCTGCATGCTTGACAATAAGATCTCTACAAACTATATTTTCCTCAAGTGTGTCTGACTGGAGGTGAATTTGGAGTTTGTTTATTTTTTGCTTTACATTGGATGGCATGAGAACAAGGATGCCTGGAAGATGTCCTTGTTTCAGGCATTGGTGCAAGTGTCATCTTTGAGGAGTCTTGTTACTTTCTGATGCTGTTTCTTGTCATGAAGCAACCTTTCTTTTTAATAATCTGTATTTAAATGTGCATGTAGGCTTCATAAGTACAAATAAGGAAAATCAGCCCTCTTAGGAATATCTAATATCCTACCCTTAATCACATTTTGTGTTGAATGGTTTGTAGCAGGAATATCACAAGCCTGACAGTCTGGGCAGATTCAGAGCTTTCAACACATTCACAGTGGGCTAAGATTTGACAGGTTTCTTTAATTCAAAGCTTTGTTTGTAAACAGAGGTGGAAGCAAAGCAAGCTACTTGGTGTGAATTCTTCTCTCTCTTTACCTGCTTGTTAATCTTATTGGAATGGTAAAATCTAAAGCCTTTAGCTATTTAATCATAGCTTGTTTTGATGAGTGAGGTGACCAAAGGAGTTCAGGAACTGCTTCAGAAGGAGGAACATGCAAGAGGAAGCACAGCGGATAGAATTGGAGTGCTTGTCCTTCTGAGGGCCATGTTTCCCATTACTAAGTGATGTTGATCTTACAGTGGTACTAAACAAACAATAGCAATGAAATTAACTGTACAAGCAAATAGTGTTAGATCAGCTATGCCATGGTAACTTTCTTGCTGTGGGCTTTTTCTTTGTAGTGCATTGCAGTAGCTTAAAGGCAGCTCAAGGTGGTTCCCTCTGCTAAGGAAAAGGCGGGGGATACCTTAGCTGTACCATAGGATGGGAGAGGTCAGGTACACCCAGGGACATTTACTGTGGAGCAACTAGTATTGGTAACTCGCATGTGAAAACTCAAGGGTTTTACAAGTGGTGTCATTATTGCAAAACAGGCTGTAGTCAGAAACCAGCTCAGCTTTGCCTTCAGGATGCCCAGCATCTCTAGCCTAAGTGAAAATGCTGGCTGACTGAGCAGTGTTGGACTGTGGTGTTTTGGTATTGCTTGCCTTGTATTCAGTGCATCGATTCCTGAGCGCATTTAATTGAGAAGATGTATTTTTTTTTTCCCCGTATCTTTCTCAGCAAGTGTTTGCGTCTCCCAGCAAACACCCAATGGACAGTAAAGGAGAGGAGTCAAAGATCAGCTACCCCAACATATTCTTCATGATTGACAGTTTTGAAGAGGTGGGTTTCTTGTTGCAGCAGCAGAGTTTTTTCCCATTCTAGTCTTATGTCCTGACTAGCTGTTTTCTTGTACCTTTTGAACAAATGTTCTTGGCTAATTGAGGGTTATCTTCCAGTAGTTTTTATTTTATTTGACCTTTCTCTTTCTTTCATGTTTTAAATCTGAGCTTAAAGCTGGATTTTGGCATCTGTCTTTATGATAGGCTAAAGCAAAACCGGCTGATGTGTTGAGATAAGCAGCTCTCACATGATTTGCAGTGTGTACTGCCTGAAGTCTGGTTTTTTGAAATGCTGGGGTGGAGCATACAACTCCCTTGGTTTCTCCCATTTACATTGAAAGTGCCTTGGGCCTAAGAAGAATCATGGGAATCTGAATATATTTGAACTTGAGCAGCTGCAGTTTGCCTTGAAGTGTTTCATCTTACATCTTTGGCAGGTTTTCAGTGACATGACTGTGGGAGAAGGAGAAATGGTCTGTGTGGAGCTGGTGGCCAGTGACAAAAGCAACACCTTCCAAGGGGTGATTTTTCAGGGGTCTATCCGCTATGAAGCACTCAAGAAGGTCTATGACAACAGGGTAAGGCACTGCTGAAAGACAACATCCTTTGCAACAATGATATTCTGACCACAGTTTTAATTTGCTGCTGAGGCTGTTAGCTTTGTCCTGTTAGATCATCTACATTGTACTCTGTCCTTTTGGGCTCTGAAAGTTACCTGAAAACTAGTGCTTTTGGCTCAGAGAGCGTTCATATCAGGATATATTACTGTGGTGTTTGCCAAAAAGTGTGAAGTTGATAAGTAGCCAAGAGCATGGCACAGGAATGGATCTAAATAACAGAGTTCTGGGAGCCCCTTCATTTTCTTGAAAGGTCATAGATCTTTCTAGTTACGTTAGAGAAGGCATGTTTTTCAGGGAGATCTTAAACTCTTAACTACCTTGCTATATGTAAAACATGTTTTTCTTTAGTTTATTTTGTGGTCATGGTGTTTTCAACAGGCCGCTGTAGTTTCATTGCAACAGAAGGAGGCTTTCTTTGCTCTCCTGGAGAAACATGAAATGCCAGCACTTTCAGCTTCAAATTCAGTACTTAGTGCTGAAGTAGAGAGTGCAAGAGCCAGTAAACTTCTCAGTTTGCTATGAAGACAGTCCCGAGGGTTTTAAACAACAACAAAACACCACCAATATCTACTGTGACTGTAAACTTCATTTCCCTTTCTTCCTACCCTTCTCAGGAGAGATCCTTGTCCCTGTTTTAAATGTGCAGAGTTTATACTCTTAAAGCAATTTTTTGACAGAACATGAAACTAAAATTGTTTCTGTGTCCCACCATCATCTTATGGCTTCTCACAATCAGCAGGTGGGTTATTAAAATACATAGGAATGCAGAATCACTAAAGTCAAATATGAAGAAAGCCTTGCAGTGGAAAGACAAGATTCGATGTGGTAATGTCACCTCCTAACCTAGGAATGTCCTGTTTGACCACGCTACTACTTTACATTGTTTTGTTTGAAGATCTAACAATTTTATTTCATCTATTACTTGATTATGGCCAAAGGAAAAACTTGAAATTTGACCTTTCTTTTAACAGAACAGAAGCAAGCTCTCTCTGCTTTTGAAGGTTACTTGCTTTCAGTTGTGTCTATTAATTCTTAGTACAGTATGAGTTTGCGTTACACGATGAGCATCTTGGCCCTTTCAGGTGATAAAGTGCTGGAAGTTGTGGTAAACCACTTAGACTTATGGATAAGTCCTACTTATTTCACTTGGAAAAACCTTGACTGTTCTCATATTGGTCTGTTCCTTTTTTCAGTTCTCAGTTCAGTTTTCAGTTCAGTTGTGTTAACTGGAAATTGAGCCCTTGTGTCTGTTGAGAGGGTTCAAAAGCTGTCAGGGTTTTGCGGTGAGCAATGTGATGCAGGTTAGTTGTGCATGGGGGCTGGTTCTTTATGCTTTGGCCTTGACAGTTTGGGAACACAAACGTCTGAATCTACTTGCCACAAAGTAGTGCCCACATTGTGTAGTGCACTTTGTTAGTTTGAAGCATCTTGTGTGTGTATCTGTTGCTTTTTGGACTCAAACGAGTGTCCACACAGGCTGTGTTGAGTTGTGCACGTGCCTGCTTGTGCTGTGGTTGTGCCACATTGTGGGGATCTGGATAAAAACCTTTTGTTTTATCTCAGCGTGCCGTTGGGTAACTCTGCCTTTTGGATAGCTGAAGGAGTTGATTCTTCTCTGAGCCTCTGCTTTTGTACCTGTAAAATTGCTTCCCTTTCAGAGATCACTTCACATTGTGGCTTAAAATGATTCTTAAGGATCAAGATAATAATCATTATCCACTATGCTTTTGACTTATTCTTAGATAACTGCTTTCAGATAACTTTTTTTTTTTTTTTTTGAAACATGGAGATGATATTGCATGGCTTTCTCTCCTGTCTTGATGCATTGTAGGTGAGTGTTGCAGCTAAGATGGCTCAAAGAATGTCTTTTGGCTTTTATAAATACAACAACATGGAATTTGTCCGAATGAAAGGGCCACAAGGGAAAGGACACGCGGAAATGGCAGTGAGTAGAGTTTCTACTGGTGACACTTCACCATATGGGACAGAAGAAGATTCAAATCCAGACTCCCCGGTGCACGAGAGAGTAAGTAGCAGACAGAAATACTGACTTACAGTTAAGCATGAAAATGTTTTGTTCCAAAGACAGTAGATGGACTGAATCTGGGATTAACTCATGTCAAGGTTCTGAACTTAGTTTTGCTTGTGTACATTTTGAACATACTCAGTATATGCAGATGGATTTTTAGCACAGTTTCCCTTGAGCAAATACTGAATACAGAGATGACTGGATGATTCATACTTCTGGAGGAGTGTTTTGTTGAAACAACAGCAATGTTGATGCCAAGGAAAATGATGATTCTGCCTGTTTTCTATGAAAATTAATAGATTCCATTTCTGTACAAGATGGAATTTACCTAGAAACATGAAATTCATATATTATGTAGGTTGCTTGCTAAACCTCAGAGGAAATGGTACTGATAGGAGATTTTTCCACTGACGAATGCTGCCAATGTGAAGCCTGTATAATACTAAAGCAAAGGTTATGGATCTAGATGCAGTACCATATTTATGCATATACTTAATTTTAATACAAGTGCAGTAAAATGCCAATAGAATCAGTCCATAGATGCTGATTTGGCCCTTACTTAGTCCTAGGCCTTGTTTTCTTTTAAGGCATTTTACCTAGTTAATGGGGATTAGGCAACATGTCTTCAAAATACCTGCACAGATGTGTGCTGACCTGGGCTGGGTAGTTCCTGATGGATTCTAGTCTGGTTTCCCATGTAAGGTAGCTAACCTGTGTATTTTAAAGGTCTGCAGGAGTGCTTCTAAAGGTCTCCATGCAAGCGATGTGATTTTGTTTGTTTGTTTGTTTCTGGCTTCCTAAAAGGCAAAATGAGCTGCCAGCACAGGAATCATTAACTGGATGTGCTTGCTCTCTACCATAGAGATACAGCCTGGAGAAATCAGGCCTGGAGGGACTTCCTGGTCTTTTGGCTCCAAGACTTCTAGTGTCAACTGGAAAATGTCAAAACAGATTTATTATCATTGCTTTTTGCTAATAGTTTTAATGGTGATTTGTCTGTTTCCGATTTTCCCTCCAGGTGTGACATGAAATGGCTACAGAGTTAAAAATAGAGATAAGCACAAATTAGAGATCAAGTGCACTAAAGAGAGGATCAGTTGGGTGGTAGAATACTTCTACTTTTTTTTTTTTTTTTTTTTAATATTAATGATGGAGGGACAACATAGAGTGTTTCTGCAGTGCAATACCAACCTGGCTTGGCTGTCATCCTCACTCGCATGTCACCTTCCTCCTTATTTGTATGGACAGATATGAGCAATATCAGGTGTCATCTCAGGGAGAGTTAGGGGATTGTTAACTGTATGAAGAAGGAAGGATGAGATAGAAGTTTCTCATCTCCATTAGCAAAATAGTTTCCTTCATTTTTTTCATTTGAAGTGAAACGATTAAAATATTACTAGCAAACCCATAAATAAGCACTGTATTTCAATTCTTTCTGAAGTAGGTATGGTTGACAATTACTGTGGTTTACTCAAGAGCAACTACTGCTCTGAAGGAAGGGTGTCTCTATAGCTTCATCCCTAACCTGTGTTTCACCACAGACAATTATATCCTTGTATTTGTCATCACTTAGGCTAACCAAATCATCGGGGGCATCTCAATTTGGTTTTCTCCATCCTGTATTGAAATATGGTATACATATTCATACTATACATAATAGTTGTACGTTGACTTCACTTTTGTGTCAGTATCTTGGGCTAAGTAATTGCCTTGTGACCCGGCTACACAGAGAGACTGTGACCTTTCACAGTGATCCCATGTGGCATCTTTCTAAGCAGGAAAACTACTACCTTGTGTTTGCCAAAGAAATGAAGATGCACAATTTTAGTGTGTCCAATACAATACATTCGTAGCCTATTAACTCTTCTGAATTTTAACACACAAAAATAAGACTGACATTCTTGGTGCCTAAATTGTTAATTTTGCTCCTTTAACAAGACTGTAAGTGCTTGTTAAAAGTTTGATAACTCTCAGCTGAGGAGAGAGGTTTTTCATTATTCACCTAACAGTTGATGGTGATGATATATCAAAATATTTTCATCTTGATGAGCATCTTGAAGCTGAGATGATGTCACTGTTCAGTTGACATTTTCTGACCTCTGATAAAACTTACAGCTAGACACCAGTAGTGATTCAGAGTTTTACACCTGTGACTGCTTCGTGGCACATATTTGAGACTGATTATTTCTTACTAGAAGCATAGAACTCTTTAAGAAAACCTTTCTCTGCCATTGCTTCTATTTCCCTTTCAGGTCACTTCTTTCAGCACACCGCCAACCCCAGAACGCAACAATCGTCCATCCTTTTTCTCCCCATCCCTCAAGAGAAAAGTGCCCCGAAATAGAATTGCTGAGATGAAAAAATCCCACTCAGCAAATGACAGTGAGGAGTTCTTCAGAGATGATGATGGTGGAGGTGAGAGAAGTAATATCAGCTAAACAGACTTGTCTGGAGAGGCAACAGAGCTATGGAAAGGGATCCCAATGCTGAATTTTCCAAAAGGTTTGCAGTGTGAAAAACCTAGCTCCACAGAAAGTCCAACAACAGTGCCACTCTGAAAATGGGGTTATTCACAGGCTTAGCATCTTTTTGAAGGCTGGAGACCAACAATTCCAGCATATGTCTAAAACTTATCTCTCCCTTTTATATAGACCACTTTGAGAGAAACTTGAGCAGGAAAGATCCTCCCCCTTTCCCAGATAGCACACTCTCAGGTGGCACTTTTCCAGATGCCACAATATAGTGGGGTAGAGCATGCTGTCATGGAGAAGTTCAGCGAATTCCCTGATTTGATCCACAGTTGGTTAAAGTTGTTGAAGTAAATGCCTTTTCACCTAGCTTTGGATCTGTTCTGAACTCTCTAAAAAGAAAACCTAATGAATTTGTTTATATAATGGTTTAACACCTTGTGGAACTCCTTTGAATTCTAGTTACTCGGTATGAAACAACCAACAAGAAAAAAAAATTAGTGTCTGATGTTAGGCGGGAAACTCACAAATGTTGGAGCCCAAACTGCTTTTCATGTTTAAAAACAATTGAGTAGAAAAGCCAAAAAATCTAACTATCTGTTGGCATGCTAATAGACAAACACAAAAGTAATTTCCAAATCACAAGTTCTGTTTGTGGTAGTGAAGGTATTGCTTGTCAGCGGTACTGGATCAGCTTAGCTAATGAGGAATTGCACGTTAAAAAACAAGCTGAAATGATGTTTAATTCAAATTCTGTGCAACTTAAACTGGTTGTAACTCTTCACTGGGTAAAGAACTGGCTGGATGGCTGAGCCCAGAGTTATGCTGAACGGAGTTAAATCCAGTTGGCATCCAGTCACAAGTGGTGCTCCCCGGGGCTCAGTTTTGGGCCCGGTCTTGTTCAATATCTTTATTGATGACCTGGATGAGGGGATCGAGTGCTCCCTCAGTAAGTTTGCAGATGACCCCAAGAGTGGGAGTGGGAGTTGGGTGGGAGGGTAGGAGGGTGCTGCAGGGGGATCTGGACAGGCTAGATCGATGGGCAGG